TCTTCTCTTAAACTGGTTGCCAGTCATTGCCAGAGAGCCTAGCCTACTCTGTCATTTAACCCATAACTAGAGAGAAGTCATGCCTTCATCTTTCCTAAGACTGTATGTGCAAAAGTGAATGTAGTGAACTCACTTGATATTAGAACTTACCAATTTCTTGAAATGAACAAAAAATGTAATTGTTACGTCATTCAAAAATTTATCAAACTTTACCAGTTAAGATTTGATAATGACTCCAGTGTATGGGCATAGAGCCAAAAATATTTGACTATTTTATCATCCTAATGATTTCAAATATATTTTTTTTTAATATCTGTAAAAAAAAAAAAAAAAAAAAAAATTATTGATCAGGTGATTGATTATTGGCTAATCAGCTCAAGTGAATTTGATTTCTGAAACTTGTTTCAGCTTGGCAACAGAGGAGTAAAAATCTACAAAGGGGAAGGGGTTGATCTATGCCATGAAACCAGGCTCAATAAAAATTGATTTGACTGTGGTTTCATCTGCTGACAAACTACAGTCATTAGAAAAAATAATTTGTCTGTGAGAGGAAAAAAAGTAATAGCAATACATTTGCTGGTCCTGAAATAAAGATTATAATTTATGGAAAATAAACACACCATTTCTCATTTTATTAAGTATAAATAAAAAACAAAAAGTGAATTATTTTTCTACAGATATATGAGATAACGATATATATTTTTATATATCAAGAAGAGTATTGGGGAAATTGTATAACATAGTGGAATAGTTTATTTGTGATTCATTTCATCCTTCATGACTTCACTGGACTCTGATGAAATACTGAAGGGATAAATGCCTCAGTGTCTGATGAAGCTTTGAAACCCAAAACAAGTAAACTTTTTCCAATTTATTATATATATATATATATATATATATATATATATATATATATATATATATATATATATATATATAATGTATAAATAAATTGGAAATATATATATATGTCTGAATGTTTGTCCATTTTTGTTAATGACTGCATGTCTCAGATGGTCAGATAAACACTTTTAGGCAAATAAGACTCTGAAGCAATGTTGAGTTTCATCCCTAGGTATTAAAAAAAAAAAAAGTAAAACCGGAAAGGAATAAAAATACAGTTTCACAGACAATATGAACAGAAAATAGGGAGAAATTCAAGTGGGGCTGGGCCCAAGTATGACAAAAAAAACCCCCAAAAAAACATGGGCTAGATAAAAACCAAGAGCATCAGACAATTCTTAGAAAAAAGGTTAGTTCAAAGGTAGAAATAATACACTGAAAATAAATGAGCGAGATAAATTTAAATGTTCGCATGCTAGGAAAAATATGTACTTGATTAAAACAAATTGTGCGAAAGAAAATTACTAGGAAATGTCAATTTCACTGAATAAATAATTTCTCTGCTTGTAGAGGAGGAAATAAATGATTCTTATCAAAGATGCTCAATATAAAAAAAAGGTTTTAAAAGTAGGACTGAAGAAAAATGTCATGCAGGTAGGTGAGATTCTCTTTCTGAAAATACACTGGTGGAGGGAGGAACTAGGATCATCATATTCCAAAAAGGACAAAGGACACTAAAATAGGTGACAAGACTATATATATATATATATATATATATATATATATATATGTGATAAACCTAAGTAGGTGAAACCTTGGTAGGTTTGCCTGGCTGCTTAGGTTTATCTTAGGTCTGTTCTACTTTGTGTATTGTGCACTTTACATAGTTGCCTCTACTTGTTTTGGAGGTTTTTTTTCTTTGAACTCTGACCTTGAACTCGGGATGATTGTTTTCAGCTCAGTTTCATGTTCTTGGTTCTTTCTTTTTTTATTTCTTATTTTTCCTTGGGTACTGGTTCAAGTGAGTACCACCATTTTTATATATGTATTTACATACACACATATGTACGTTGACCATGGACTTCTATAAGAAATTCATCCTCCCATTGACAGTTCTTGTTTTTCATTTTGTGGGATGACTGCCACCCTCCTCACAAGCAGAAAAAACTAGTGGCAACCACCCATCACTGATATAAGCATGGAAAGTGAAATTCATGATCAAAGTTCACATTCCAAACCAGTCTTTTGTATTCAGTTTTGCACAACAGTTATTGGTAAATCTTTTGACTGTTTCTTACAAAAACATATTTTCTAAAACCAGTGTCTGCTTAGTGAAAAATACCAGATTTATTTTATTTTATTTTTTTTCCTTAAGGAATGAGATCTTTGCATTCACACAGATGATGAGGACCGAAGAATTGATCAGCTGAAGCATTGTGTTAATGACATCAATTATACAAAGAATTTAAGTCTGTGAACAATGTTGGATATAAGAACTTTGGTTTATTTTTTTTTTATCCTGTTTCTTCATATTAATTAAGATAACAAGAAAAGGCCAGGAAAATTGTCTGAGTAATGCAGCTATTTTGGTGTGATATGAAGTGTTTCAGCAATGCTTACTGATTTAATAAATATGATGTCTAATATCAAATGAAATTCTGTTTGCCAACTTATATCAGAATCCAAAAATAGAATCTCAATTCAAATCACTTAAATGTTTTTATTTTCTACTGGACAACATTCTGAGAAAAAATAGGAATATTACAAGAGAAAAAAATTCATCTTTGACTTCTGCACACAGCCTTCATTTTACTAAAAATACTGAGTTTAAAATTACTTAGAACAAAAGAAAATTTATAAAAAAAACACATGATATCAACTGAGCTACATATATTTTTTCTTATTCACTTGAGCTGGCTCGGATATTCATGAATCTATCATACCAACCGTCACAGTTCTGTCCCAAGGTTTGGAAGGTCATAAAGGTGGCATTCTGTGTTGGTCAATGTAGATGATTGCTGGATGACCAGCCCAACTTGTGCAATGGCTAGGTGTCACTTGCAAGTTTTTGTTTTGCTCACTAGGAGTGTCCTACAAAGTGCATTCTGTGTTCACGCAAGATTATTCAAGTAACAGGGGTGAGTACATAGGACTTTAGCTAGATGTTTTCTCCTAAAGATGTGGAGTATAGCTCTCAGCATCCAAGTGTAGGTTCCATCAAGCTTAGACCCGAGGGTTTTTCAGTCAATGTCAAAGCAGTGGCACCATAAATTAAAACTGCCTCTACTGTGGTACAAAAGAATCTCCACTGGAAGTTTTCTGGTAGTTCCGATTCTGAATCATAATTAAAGCATATTTGCATAACTTAGTTTGGCACTTTACAGAAGTGACCTTTTTTTTTTTTGCATGTTTTTACCAGTATGCTATGGTTGGTGTACATCTATCCTTAATTAATGACTATTTCTGGAGAATATTGGAGTACCAGATGTGCAAATGGTGCAATGCTTAAGTCTCAGTATTGGAAATCAGAGAGCCAAGTTACAATTCCAGTTGAGTTTGTTACATTATATGTACAATTACTCAACGGAAGAGGCTTTAATCCACATATTCTCCCCCAGCTATGGATTAATTAGTAGGGCTTTTATTAGTAAATCTTACTTATTATAAAATGCAGATTGTGTCTGTGTGTGTCTGTACGTTTATATATGGGATCAGATTTCCTACATGTTTCAACCGATTTCAACAAAACTTCACAGGCCCGCTTAAAATTACCTTGCAATGGTTCTGACAGCACCAAAAATTGGAAAAACAATTGTTTTTGCACAAAATCAATTTGAAAATACGATTGTGTCGCCAGAATGAAAGGAGGACAACTCATATCGAGTTATACTTATTATAAAACCCAGGTTGTTTGTGTGTGTTTGTTTTTATATGGCATTGGATTTTCTACATTTTTCAACCGATTTCAACAAAACTTCACTTTTTTTTTGGCAGGTAGTGTTTCTTATTGTCTTGCACACTTTTTTCTTTATTTTTACATTTAGTATGCTTTAAAAATTCCATTTACAAGACAATTGTTTATAATAAAATTCTATTCAATCGATAAACTCATTACGATTGAAAACAATGTTTTTGTTTGAGTTTGGGTTTGACCAATTCGTAAAAAAAAAAAAACTAATTAAGACATGCGTGTCCGTCAACCTTAAACAATAATCTTTGTAAATTTTATTTTTCAGTCTTTATGATGGTCGATACTTGATCTATCTCTTACTGTTACATCCCTGGGCAACACCGGGCTCTACTGCTAGTCATTATTATTTTCAAAAACTTCTTACATTCTAAAATGTTTTCTGGCTTCAAATAACCTGCAAAAGGTTGATAAGCCATAAAAAACAACCAGTCTGGATTATATCCCATTCTTACTATCATTTATAGGTTAAATAGTAGAGTAGATTGAGCTCCCTTGTCTTGGTTGACAGCCAGTCTAAGAGGTTTAGAAACCTTAATTCTAAACCATCGAGTTAATGGGAAACCAATACAAATTCCTAACAGTTCATAGACAATAAAAAAGAAATCAGTATAGAGCCATGATCATATATATTTTGAAGAGACATAGCGTTTTAATAAAAGGGACTCTTGTCAGATGGACAACTCTGTGAAAAGATTTTTTTTTCATTGTTTTTAAAGGCAGATAACATTTTTTTTGAGGATTTCTTCTTTTTGTCTTGGCAACTAATTTGAAGATTTTTTTCTTTCCTTCTCTGAAATTATTACATAATGTTATCATGTTGTGCTTATTTTTAAAAATAATTTTTAGAGTATTTACATTCATACTAATGTCCTCATTCTTGTTGTTATTATAATGCTTTAGCCATTGCACTCTCCTGCTTTCATAAAGTATTTTTGAACATGGTATACCTCAGGAAATTTCTGACTAAATACTATTTAATTTACAGGGATATATTCTTCTCATTCCTCTGTCTTCAAGCCATCTTTCCTCATTATGAGTCCCCAAAATTTCAACCATAGCGTTCTGATTCTAAGTCCACATATGCTACCTTTTGTTCCTGTTTTCCTTAAGACATCTTTGTTGCCCACATGTTTAGTCATTGGTAGTATTCGCATCTCTTTTGCTTTGAGTATCTTCTTTTTCTAGCTTATGGCCATATCAGTTTCAAACACCATTTCCTGTATGATCACCAAAGTTAAGCAATGTCAAGCCTGGTCAGTACCTAGATGGGTGGCCACTTGGGAATACCAGCTTCTGTAAACTTGTATGCATGGGTGACATAATGGATAATGGCCTGGAATTGTTAACCAGACAGTTGAGTTCAAATTCCAGTTGGGTTCATTGTATTCACTTATATGCAAATACCCTTGGTTAAGGTATGAATACACTTCTTTTTATCCAGCTATGGGTTAATTAATAAGACTAAATATCACTATATCATTATTATTTAAAAAAAAAATTTTACAATCTAAAAATATTTTCTGGCATTCATTAACTTGCAAGGTGTTGCTAAATCATAGAAAAGAAATCAATCAATCTTCTTTTTCTGTAAGAAAATCAGCCAGTATTTACCACCATATTGGAGGACTGAAGTGATCTAGATATTCAGCATGCTTTCCTTTGTTTCTAATAAAATGTTTCTATTTCTAAATACATTACTGCACAACTGCTAGCCTCTTGTAGCTTGAAGCAGCATTTCACCAACCTACTTTGTCCTTGCTCTGCACACTAGCTCACTATGTAGGTTACTTGCTGCTTCCCTTGGTACTCTTTACTTCACTGTCTTGTGGCTGTTAAATTTTTCAGGCTCTCTTTCCTCATGGTGTCTCTCAGAAATTTCAACTTTCTCCTCATTTTAAGCATTAGTGTGTTTTTGATTCCAATTTTCTCTCAACTTTCTCATTGCTCACATGTTCTATCCATGGTACTCTCAGTATCCTTTTATAGAATCATGTCTCTATTGCTTTGAGTCTCTTCTCCACCTGTAAGGAAATTTTCCAGCATTTACTGCTCTATTGGGGGATTTATGACATAGTGGTTCAGAACTCTTTTATTTGATGCTAACAAAATTTTTTTATTTCTTGATACTTTGCTTACTTCCTGTAAGGCTTCTTTCGCTTTTTCTTTGGCCTTCAGGATTTCTGTGTCACATTTTGTGTTGAATGTTACTATACTATCTAACAGAGATCAAAAAAAGTAGGGTATTTTCTTTGTACCAGTTGGGTAATCATCTCTCTCCTGCAACCCCGGCACAACCAAATTACCTGCAACTATAAAATTGGGAAAGCACTCCAGTTTAATTGCATAAAATGATTCCTCTTCCTTTAGTGCAAAATCCTCTCAAGTGTAATGCTATCCAATAAAATCATTATTGCTCGTTAATCCTTTCAGCCTCTTATCCACATCGTTTTTTTTTTGTTTTTTCTTCACTGTTCCCACCTCTATACAACCAGAGTATTTTTCTGATGACTTACTCACACCTATCAACAATATTAGGTACTAACTGACTTATCTATTGGCCACTTTACTTTCTCAAGTTTCCACAATAATGCTTTCTTACTGAGTCCTAATTCATTTTGATTAATGTCCTCATCTATTTGTTTTTATCAAAATGTGTCTCTTTTTTTTTCTTTTTGATTGATGTGAGATTACACTCACCTTGTAGCTGCCAACTGGGATTTGATAATTACTGTCACAGATTTTTCAGACACAGTATTAACGCTTGTTTGGTCAGAGGAGAATTAGCGTGAAATATGCACATGTCCCAAGATAGGGTATCTGAAGTATACAATTATTTGCAAGAGAAGTTACTCTCTACACTTGAATGAAAGTGGCATCATATAAGTTCTAAGAATTCATTTGACATCTTCTTCTTTTATGTGGACGTGGATGCTCATGGCTCTCCACAACTTCCTGTCTTTTATAGCTCTTAGCAATATTTGTCTTTTAACTGTTCCTCCCAATACCTGTTCTGTCTTCCATTTAGCCAAGCTTGTTCGATTGGTTATTCAATATTTCCTTCTGCTTTCTTGCTTTCATTTTGTCTTGTGTGTGTTTAATTCTCCAAGCCCTCTTACTTCATTATGTGTCTTAGAAATCTCAACTGTGTCCCTGATTAAAAGCATAAGTATCCTTTTTGTTTCCATTTTCTTTGAAACTTCCTCATGGCTCACATGTTCCATGTATAGATTTAAATTAAAAAATAACATTATGTTCAGATGACATTGAATAGATTCAAAAGTTAAAAATAACTATCACATCATATTTCAAAGTTAGGCTCAAAGTCAGCACAGAAGTTTAACAAAATAGATTTTCAATGACTGAAGTCATTTGAATACTTGAAATAATAAACTTTTTTTTTTAATCAGTATCAGTCCATGCAAGGCAGTAAAGCCACTAAGACATAAGGGGTTACAGAGTGTGAAAGAATTAGGAACAGAAGCATTAATAATGAGCGGGAAGAGGAAAGAGTGATCAGGAGGACAGTAGATAGCAATTGGCATTACATTTAAATTTTTGCAGATTAAATCTGATATAAATATAATTGTGGACTCCCCTGACATATTCCAATGTATGAGGGTCAAGCAGCTCAGTTCCTAGGAACTGACAGCCAGACACCAGCATATAGGATTTTATTATAGTGGTGAAGGCTTTGTGCAGAACCAACCACATTTTTTGAATAAAAGAATCAGGTCGTAAATTCGTAATGTGGTTCTTTGACGTCGTACATGACTATCAATGAAAGTATGTGTTTAAATGCACTGTAATATGTTGTGATATATATATATATATATATATATATATATATATATATATATATATATATTTGACTCTCCCGGTCCTATTCAACATATGAGGGTCAAGCAGCTTATTTCCTAGGAACTGACAGCCAGACACCAGCACATGTGATTTGATTATAGCGGTGAAGGTTTTTTGCTGAATCATCCACACTTTTTGAAAGGACAGACACAGAGACCTGGTGCACTACATGCAACAAGGTCCCCAAACAATCCTCTGAAGATTTTGAATTCAGAGTTGTCCTTCTCCTAGACAAGTTGTCATCCAAGGCTATAGAACCCAATCTGTCCTGCTATTTACCTAGAGCTGGAGGGAGAAAAAGAGGATAAATACCTTTCACAAGGTTATTAGCATGTAAGTGAATGTAATGGCTTTGACTGGAATTTGAACTCGGCTCTCCAATTCCTCAGTCTGAGCCACTATCCACTACTCTACTGTGCCTCCTCATAATAAATATAATATACAGAAGTCAATTTGTTGAAAAAAACTATTTTACAACACAATTTGTCTACTATATTTACCCTGAATTATATATATGTAATAATAATTGTACTTGTATAACGGTTGAACTATTCAGCACATCATGGGATTTTATTGAAAATATAAATATGACATGATAAATGTCGAAATGTATTAATATTTTAACAGTCAGTCCAGGGTCTTCAAATACAGCTTGTTACGGAATTAGAAATTCATCCCTTGATACTGATTCAGCTAAAACAATCAATCACACAAGCTTTTGTTATTTTTACAGAATAATTTTAGTGTCTTTGAAAAGCAATTTTCTTTGTCGCCATGATAATGTGATGGGGAGACAGAATTTGTAATTTAAATTGTATTTCAAGTTCAATATAAATGAAATGAAAAAGATAAATTCAAATAAGTTACTGCTTTTCTCCATTGCAGAAAGAAGAGAGCTACTTTCATATTGGTTTTTCTTTGATAAACCAATCTATTTTAGAGTATAAAAATTTATTTAAAGTTTAAAATAGACATGAAGTTAGGTAATGATCTGCCATTTTTGCCTGCATTTCAATTGAAAACTGTTGAATGCAGCTGAATTTGTTGACTTTTCCAAATGTTTTTGAGGATGCATTTTATCAGTATGACAAAGATCATTTTACAAGAAAAGAAAATACAACAAAATAGTATGATTAATCATGATAGTGTTTGTATCTGAGGTAGCCTAATGGAGAGATAATATTGGTAATTTATATTTACTTTACAAGGAGGCATCAATAAATCTGTTACTTGAGATGTAATTATTTTACTTCTATCAGAAATTTTTTACTACATAATTTTTTAGCACTATAATTGATATTCACTACAGAATAAAGTGCATTGAGAAGGAATTGGACTATTTTAAAAAATAAATATTTGGTTTACCTGCTTAGATCATATAAGTAATTCTTAGGTATATCAATGATATGCTTATGGCCATATCAGTTTGAAACATCGGTTCTTGTATTGTTCTCATTCAATTGTCTTCAAGATGTCTTTCCTCCTTATGAGTCCCAGAAATTTTAACCATAGCTTTCTGATTCTAAACCCATATATATTACCTTTTTGTTTCTAGTTTCCTTAAGACATCTTCATTGCTCAAATGTTCAGTGATTGGTATTATTGACAGCTGTCTGTAGAACCACATCTCTCTTGCTTCGGGTCTCTTTCTAGCTTATGGTCATATGATTCAAAGACCAGTTCCCATATGATCACCAAAATAAAGCAACACTGAGCCTGGTCAGTACCTAGATGGTTGACTGCTTGCAAATCCCAGGTGCTGTAAGCTTGAATATGCAGGTTGTGTAAAGGATAATGGCTGAGTTTCAATTCCAGTTGGGTTCATTATATTTATTTATGTGCAAATACCCATGAGAAAGGTATCTCTTTTCCCTCCAGCTATTGGTTAATTAATAGGTCTTAGAACAGTAAATCATTATTATCTCTAAAAAATACTTACAATCTAAAAATATTTTCTGGCTTTAAATAACCTGCAAAGTGTTGATAATCCATAAAAATCAAGCAAAATCATTTTTATATAGATAATTATTATTAAAAAGAATTTGATAAAAAGGATTATTCATAGAAAATCACTTAGGACAAAGCATGAGCTGTAAAAAGACAATGTACTGTCATTTGGAGGAGGAACAGCCCAGTCCAAGATGTGAACTGTTAGCTGTAGGCATCAAAATCAAGTACAGGAATTTAACTATCTGGGAACTGTTAAAACAAATGATGGAAAATGTAACAGAGAAATCGAAAGGTGCATTTTAGTAGTCAAATATGCCTTCCAAAAGCTAAGCAAAGTATTAAGAAACAAGAAACTTTTCTTAAACAAAGAAGAGTGCTGAACTACTATATAGCATAATGTGACTATGAGTTCAACACTTTCCTAACAGATGAAATGGAGACTTGAGGCAACAGAAATGTGGTTCCACAGAAGGATACAAAGAAAAACC